CTTCTTTATATCGCGGGACTGGATTTATGCAGGAAGCGAGCTTGATCAGAACTTTTTCAGTCAACATGGATCTAGAAGCAGACCCCTGGTTTCCAGCTTGGAGCTGACCCAAGCCGCTCCGAGGTGTTAGTTTGTACCCACAAGGGACCGTTCTGAAATCGGCGACATCGCTGACCCAGCTTCGATCAAGCTCCGGTACCCTGGGACAACCTTAAAAGCATCTGAAGTGGTAGGACAGATATTCTTTCTCTGTGACGGTGTGCTCAGCGGAGTGGTGGTGAAGTTTCTGGATCATTAAGTTGGTATTGAAGAAGGCTTTGGCAAGTTCCTTTCCCAAATAATTCAAGTCCCCTCTTAAATCGATGAATTAACACTTYCTTTATTAWTCTTTAAGTTTCTTCTAATTCTTGCCAGTGTAGATTAGTTAAGTGGTTCAGTTAGAATGATGCTAAAGATGATTAAAGGGTGATAGTGATGCTTATTGTTAAACTTCAAAGTCTTGATAATAACGGTTTCTGTCTGCCCAAATAATCTGTTTGTGTTGTTACCTCTGAATCAATTAATACAGGTTATATTTTGAAATTTATGTTCGTCTGTGCGTAATTTATTGGGTTTGTACTTTAAACTGGTAGAATTCACTATTCAGTATTTGAGACTGACTTAAGATCTATAAATTAATTTCCTGGATTACCAGGTGGTGCCCCCTTTTATTATGCTAATAAATTACGAGGAATTTATGATTTAGCAATTGTCCATAACATCGACAGAATCTCACTACAAGAGACGGAACTCACTWCTTCCTGAATGCCACACAGGGAGASCGGCTGATTTTCTCTCCGGAGGAACAGCTTGGCTTCGGATCTCGCCCATGAGCCAAATAGGATGAGATCTGACGGCCAGGACAGAAGCAAGCCGGCTTCTGTCCACACAGAGACTCACGTCTCATATGGGTGTTTTAYCTCCCGAGGGGAGATTTTTATTTTGAAAAGAAGGGACCGGATGACAGCTAGAATCTTTCTGGCTTGGACGGAAACAGGTGAAAGTTACCTGAAAACACCTACTCCCCAAGGACCAGAAAGCGAGCTGATAAAAGTTCCCTGGATGGTCGGAGGTGAGACAGTTCCTACCCAGGGGTGCCTTAAGAAGTCATCACCAGGTAAAGCTGACGTGTTCGGAGTGACGTGTCATGTGGAAACTAAGCGYAGAAAGGAYGTGCTAATCCGGTTGTCACATACCCTTACCAAAATAAAAGCAGAAACACTAAACTTAATTTCATCTCTTTTCTTATCCTTTCTTTGCCAGTCTTAAGTTAAAGTGCCAGTAGAATTGTTTGGTTCTTAGAAGATCGAAGCAGACGAAAGTTGCCTAAAATAACACTTTTCGCCGAGGAACAGTGAGCGGGCCGATTAAAACGTTCCCTGACTGATCGGAGGTRAAGCAGTGTCTACCCAGGGTTTGGTTAAGAAGCCAGCAACAGGTAACGCTGTCGTGTTCCGGGTGACGTGTCATGTGGAGATCTCAGCGCAGAGAGGACGTGCTGATCTGGTTGTAACACACTTAACAAAATAGGAGTAGTGAAACACTAACCTTATTTTCATCCTTTCCTCTMTTCTTTATTTGCCAAAACTTAAGCTAAAGAGTGCCAGTAAATTGGTTGTTAACATCAGAACTAATGTTTACTGTTCTATGTATAAGTAATCTRAGTTTTAATGTGAACTGAAATTCGGAAGTGAGTTTTATATCATTTAACTCTGAAGCTTGTTATAGGAAAACCCACAATCAGGTGTAACTTATGACCTGTTCAATTTGTGTAAATAAATRATTGCATAATATTTTATGAATCAACTTGAACTCGTCTGACGTTCACTCATTGTGTCACTTTTCACTTTGCACAGTCAAAATATTAAAGTAATGAGAAAAACCTTGGTAAAAATTTGTCTCATAACTTTGTTATGAGAAGATGTCGAGAGGCTTATTTAACATAAGTCACTCCCCTACAGTGCCATTAGCCACTTCAGCTCTCACCGCTTGAAGCTCTCCTTTAATAAGAGTAAACTCTTCAGCCAAAGCCGCTTTTATTTTGGGTTTGATCACAGCTGAGAGATCGTTTTTATAGCGGCAAGAATGTCAGACTTCAAAGARAGTGYGTCCACCTTGCTGCGGGAGGGAGAGGAGGGCGCCGAAACTCCGGTTTTAGCTGCTGTCTGCTCCAATGCCTAGCAGCTGTCAAGTTGGAATGTTTGCCTTTCCTCGAGTTTGTCGCCATTCTTCTACTCTTTCAGGCAAGAATCACTCAGTGGTTGAGTCTGGACGGACCAAATGTTCAAAACAGCAAGGGCATTTAGTATAGAACCACAAATAGAACAAGTCGGAGCGGGAGCCACGCGACACACGTCTCACTCCTCCGTCATCTTGCCCTGCCTCCCTGTTTAGTGTTTGTTTAAAGTTATATCTTAAAGTAGTTTAATGTTGTTTTTACTCCAGAATCCTGAAGTTAAGATTGTAATGCGTTTAAGGCTTCTGTGTGTTGGGGGTTTGCAGGAAAGTTGGAAAACTGTCATTTATTCTTAGTTTTAATTTATTTATTTACTTGTATTTAGACAGGTAACACAAACGCAGGTCATCAGTTTATCAATAATCCCAAATCATTGCTAGTGAAATGTGAAGGTCACCCTCTCAAAAAAGAACTGTGATCTTAATGGGATTTTCCTGGTTAAATAACAGTAAATAAATAAATATTTATTYAACACATAAAGCACTCTGAACTCAACAAATCCAAAGATTTATTGTGCCTCAATTTTTAAAACATGAATATTTAAGCTATATTTAAGGTATATGGTGTATGTACTGGGATCTGCTGAAAGGTCATCGCTTTATTACAGTAACATGGTGGTTAGGGGTTAGCGTGCATTCTGTCAGTGTGTTGCAGGGCATCTGTGGTTACAAAGTAGCTTATCAGTGTGTGAATTAGTGAATTATAATAGTGTAAACTGCTTTGGGGTCTGTAGGGACTTGATAAAGCACTGTATCAGTTCAGAACATTTAAAATGTTGACTGTCAAAAAATCATTTTGTCCTCCATCCAGGAATATCAGTACATTTAGCTTGTCACAGGTTTCATGTCGATGGAAGCAGAAGTCTTTTGACTATAAAGAACATTTAAACAARTAATGACAGCTATCTTCATTTCATCATTTTCTTATTTTGTTTTGTAATTCCAGACCTGAATTACTGTACCAACCACAAGCCATGCCAGAATGAAGCCACCTGCACCAACACAGGTGAGGGAAGCTACACCTGCACCTGCCAACCTGGGTTCTTTGGCAAAAACTGTGAAATTGAGACCAACGAGTGCGAGAGCAGCCCATGCAAGAATGGCGGCAGCTGCAAAGTATGTCCACACACACACCTTCCACATGTAGGTCATTTGAATGGAAAGTTCATATTCAGGCTGTGAGCATTTAGCAAAAAAACTTGATCATCCAACATCTAAATGACTAAGAACATTTTGTAGGTTGGCCTTGTGTTATAAGAAGCTATGAGCTTTCAGGGGATGAACACAGGAGGACAGATTCAGTGGGTTCTCAGTTGGGACGTCCATGGATCAGGCTTGTACCGGTACATTTTCCTAAAACTAAATCAATTAGGCATTTAGTAAGTTTAGAGACCTTGGTCTCTTTGTAACTGATTCTTACAGTTTTAGAGTAATTTTCATTGATGTGGGGAACAGTAACCTTCTGGGAGATCTACACCCAGGCATCAGGATGAATACTATGACATAAAACTGAAAATGCCAAAACAGTGCCTACTTTATGTCTTTTAGCAAAGGAAATACTGGACCATTATTTATGAGTTGGATTACAAGTTCCAGTTCATATAGATGGGCAAGAATTGGCTCTTTCTTTTTCACATTTACTTCAACCCATATTTGTCATGTAAAACACTCTCTTATTGTAATGAATCTTTRTGTTACGATGTGATAAGAACATATAAGCCTGATAAGAAATTTGTTGAATATGTTAATGAAACTGTTATCTTTTCTGCAGAGCCACAGTAAGGGTTAGTGGGCTCAAACTGTATTGCATCTGTGTTCTCTTTTCTCACGTTCTTACAATTTTGAAACCTGGTTTGTTCTGTTCATCAGAATTTACATCATTCTGTGATGGTACCATCTTCATTTTTACCATTTACCCTCCAGGATTTGGTGAACAATTATTCGTGCGCATGCCCTCAGGGTTTCTACGGAGAGAACTGCGAGATCAGTGCCATGAGATGTGCAGACGGGCCATGTTTTAATGGGGGAACCTGTGTGGAGACTGACGCTGGCGGGTACAGCTGCCACTGCCCGACTGGCTTCACTGGCTCCAACTGCGAGAAGCGAATTGACAAATGCAGCAGCAGCCCCTGCATTAATGGTACAAAGGTCCTGAGAGGAAAAAAAGAGGTGTAAAAGGTTAAATTTTACAGTGTAACATTATGAACTAGGTCTGACTTTTAGTCAGCAGTTTCATTAAATTTAGGTTTATGCCAGATTTATCACAGTTTAACAGTGATCAGGTTGTCAGAATTTGAAACAAACTATGAAAAACCTAACATGTCTGATAATTAACATAAATGTTTAAATCTAATAGAAAGGTTTTTATGGGTCTTGGCTGATGATAGAGCAGTGTTAACCAGTCTTGGACTTTAGGACTTGCTGTTTAAGTTTTTTATTTTTCTTTGCTCCAACGCTTTAAAAAATTACTTTAACTGTTTAGCATTGCATTACGACAGTTTAAACTCTTTAATTTAAATCAGTTCAGTTGAAGCACAGAAACAAATAAACCATAATGGGCTGTGGGTCAGAGGACCAAAACAGAGTACATAAAGAAAAATGTTAGATTTTCATCTGAATCACCAGAATCGGAATATTTTATTAATCCCGGGGGTAAATTGCAATTATTACAGCCGAAACCATTCAAGTAAGCATTAAAGAAAAAATAAAAGTAAAAAAATATTGTGGTGTGCAGAATCATCAGAGAGATGTAATCTATAATAATAAGAAAGAAAGAAGCAGTCTTGATTCCACGTCTAACAGGACCAAGGTTCATAACACTGTTGCATTAAATAAATGAATGGTAAATATTCAATAATTCAGTGTGATCAACTATGTGTGAGAAGAACAGAGGAGAGATTAAGCTTCTTCTAAAAGTATAGACATTTTTTGGTTTCTTGAAACGCTAACATGAAATCCCAAATCTTTAGTTCATTGTATTAGTGTAAAAAATAGATTGATGGATTGATCCCTTGTCAATGAATCTGATTGCGTTTGCCTGCATATTTTTGATATACTGTATATGGTAGACTTGGGTAAATATTTTTGTCACTCACTGACTCAAAATGTACCATCCTTCTCCAAACCTTGTCAAATAAAAAAGGATAGAGATGGAACAACCCAAAAATCAGGTAAGCTGAGTGTAGTTCAAAAGCATGTTACCCCACAGAAGCATTCTGCTTTAGTTGAGCTTTGTGAAATGTTTGGCAGGTGATATGGGTGAAGAGGACAGTTAACAGTTTATTCACTGTTTATGGCATAAACTGTATTACTGGCCTTCAGATATCTGTAAATTTACATACAGATAGACAGACAAAGGTAAAGAAAGACAGGTAGACAGTCAGGGACAGACAGAACATGTGGACAGAGGATTATACTGACCAAGGGGCGGCTGTGGCGGAGTGGTTAGGGGAGTCGTCCTGGAACCAGAAGGTCGCTGGTTCGATCCCCCGTCCAGCCGTCTCAGTCGTTGTGTCCTTGGGCAAGACACTTCACCCACCTTGCCTACYKMTGRTGGTCAGAGGGTCCGGTGGCGCCGATGTATGGCAGCCCCACCTCTGTCAGTGTGCCCCAGGGCAGCTGTGGCTACAGTGTAGTTTGCCATCATCAGTGTGTGAATGTGAGTGTGAATGGGTGAATGTCTGTTAGTGTAAAGCGCTTTGGGGTCTGGAGGGACTTGAAAAGCGCTCTATAAGTTCAGTACTATTTACCATTTACCATTTACCAAACGAAAAATGAACTTAGAGACAGAAAAACAAGCAGATGGAAAGAGAGACTGACAGAAGAAAAGAGACAGGCAGTTGTATGACAGACAGCCACAATGAGATAGACAGGCAGACAAAGACAAGTAGACAGACACATGGAAAGACGGAAAAATGGACAAAGACAAATTAAAAAAAACCTCAGACAAAGAGAAACCGTATGACAGTAAATGCCTGTGAGGGGAAGTCAGGCATTCCCATCTACAACATTAGTGGCCAAAGGACCAAAAAATGGTCTGAACTCATACTGTATAGACCTTTATCAAGTCTCTAGTGATTCCAAACTCTTCACACATCATTCACCTATTCATACACACATTCACACACTGATGATGCTTAGCTGCACTGTAGCCACAGCTGCCCCGGGGCACACTGACAGAGGCAAAAATAGGAGGTTGCACAGCCAGATGCATCAAAGTGATGTAGACATTAGCATCTTTTGTTCAGTCAAGTCACTGCAATGGAGTGTGGTCTAAGCAGAAAATGATGTCTGTCTGTCTGTCTGTCTGTCTGTCTGTCTGTCTGTCTGTCTGTCTGTCTATCTGTCTGTCTGTCTGTCTGTCTATCTGTCTATCTGTCTGTCTGACCGTCTGTCTGTCTGTCTGTCTGTCTGTCTGTCTATCTGTCTGTCTGTCTATCTGTCTGTCTGTCTTTCTGTCTGTCTGTCTATCACTTATCAATCATCTATATGTCTGTCTGTCTGTCTGTCTGTCTGTCTGTCTGTCTGTCTGTCTGTCTATCAAATGGGGTGTGTTAAGTGCTGCTTCAGAACACATCACATGACCATCAATTGACATAATTTGGTCAAAGGCTGAGTGTACAGGTCTGGGATAGCTTTAAGTGAAAATTCTTGATGAGTTGTATCAAGGAACTCAGATGAACCTGACAAAAATATCTCCAGACCTATACTGAATGCTGAAGGTCAAATTAAATGCAATACTAGCTGTTTGAACAGGAGCAATGTTAACAGAGGAAGCGAATTTGGGAGATGTCTGTCTAGCCACAAAATAGAATAAATGGYGATGCTATCTTGTCTGCCAACCTGACCCAAAGGTACATAACTATGTAGACCTTCACTGAGGACTCTGCACCTTCTAGCAATGCAGGGTGGCAGCACCTACCTTTCTCCAAAGCTCCTGTTGGGATCGTCATCTCAGACCATTAGAATCTGATGACTTTCAGCATTACCAGTTCACCCTTTGTCAGCTAAGAGCAGACATTACTACCAGCCACCATAAGCAGGTAGTATGAGGGATGCAGCAAGCAGGTGATTGAGCTCTACAGGGACCTAGAGGTGCTGGTTGGTTACTGCCGTTGTTACTGTTGAGGCTTTCACATACTACAGTGTAGTTGAGCACCAAAAGTAGTAGCATTCAGGCTGTGAAGGTTCTTTCTGGCAGAAAAAAATCTAGGGATTCACACAGACACATGCTGACTCACACATAGATCTTTGGGCTACATGCATCTGTCAGCACCAAACACTCAACTGCAACAGGACGTCYCCCAGGTCCCACCCTGTAGTAACAGGATGGGACCTGAAGAGGGACAAATTAATAAATTATCTACAGCTGCACTGGTGCTGTTTCCTGAACCATTACCCAAACTCATATAAACTGGGTAATGGTCTGATAAATGTATAGCAGCTTTGGTACAATTTTTACAGTGTCTGCACATTATTTGAGTATAAAGTGTGTGTTTGTAAATGAAGTGGTGTTTTCTATTCTGGGTCCCTCCCTTTATCAAAAGCACTATTTAAACCCAGGTAGTTACACTTTTTCTCTATTTGTGGCATAATTTGAAAACCTTTAACAAGTACAGCTCAACAAAGCATGCTCTGAAACAACTATGTAGAATTTTAATGCTTGATTGTGTTTGTTGGAATCACAATTTTTAAGCTGTTATAAACTATTGTAAGCTATTGCTACTGACAAAATTGGTGAATTGGTGTCATTAACACTACACAACAAATGAGGAACTATGAAATACCTTAACAATAACAATATATTTATTATATTTTTCTGTCTCTAAAACATACAACACTGGTATTGCAGTCACTAAGAAACAATAAACAGAGCAGTGGTGGAGCCAGAGATTTTAAAGAGGTGGCCATTCTGGGACCACAGGTTACAGGTGGGATTCAGTCTTAGATTTTAGACTTWGTTCATCCTGCACCGTTTGGCGCATTGGGCGGCAAAACATCTCCATTGGGGTTGATCTCTTGTGACCACTTTGGCTTTGTCTGGGCTGATATCTAGGGCCTTCAGGTCTTCGTGGAAGGTTTGGCACCAGTCCTGTCGGAGACGTCCTTGTTTCTGTTACCCCTGTGATGGTATCCACTGGATGGCAGTTCTTAGTAGTGTAGTAGGTAGGCTTATTGTGAAATAAGTCTTTCTACATATCTCTCATAACAAGGTTATGAGGAAAGTTTTACCAAGGTATTTTCTCATTACTTTAATATCTTGACTATGCAAAGTGAGAAGTGACACAATAAGGGAACGTTCAGACGAGTTCAAGTTGATTCATAAAAGWCTATCCAATCATTTATTTACACAAATTGAACAGATCATAAGTTACACCTGATTGTGGTTTTCCTATTACAAGCTTCAAAGTTAAATGAGATAAAACTTGCGTCCGAATTTTAATTCACATTAAACTCAGATTACTTATACATAGAACAGTAAACATTAGTTCTGATGTTAACAACCAATTTACTGGCACTCTTTAGCTTAATTTTTGGCAAATAAAGAATAGAGGAAAGGATGAAAATAAGGTTAGTGTTTCAMTACTCTTATTTTGTTAAGTGTGTTACAACCAGATCAGCACGTCCTCTCTGCGCTSAGATCTCCACATGACACGTCACCCGGAACACGACAGCGTTACCTGTTGCTGGCTTCTTAACCAAACCCTGGGTAGACACTGCTTCACCTCCGATCAGTCAGGGAACGTTTTAATCGGCCCGCTCACTGTTCCTCGGCGAAAAGTGTTATTTTAGGCAACTTTTGTCTGCTTCGATCTTTGCCAGAAAGATTCAAGCTGAGGCATCCAGTTCCTCCTTTCAAAATAAAATTCACCCCTCGGTAGTTGAAAAACACTTAAGAGTCTTGTAGTCTCAGTCTGGGTCAGTCGACGGCTTGCCTCTGCCCTGGCCGTTAGATCCCCCTAATTGGCTTATGGGCAAGATCTAACGGGCCAAGCTGGATTCTCCTGGGAGAAAACTCAGCCTTCCTTCCCAGTTCGGCATCCAGGAAGAAGTGTTCCTTCACTCAAAGGCATCCGTGTTAGTAATAGAAGCAGACGACTTTGGTTCCGCCCTCAGTCTTAGAATGAGTCAGAGAAAAGGAAGAAAGATAAAGCTTTGCCAGCCAGGTGCCAGGCAAGGTCAAATTCTGTGAAAGTTTTTTTTTTAACAGAATATGATAACATTTCTTTTCAATTTTTCTTCTGGTAGACTCTAAGAGAAATCACTGTAAAACATTTATGATGATTAATTAACATTTCTGTTTAAATAATCAGTCTGAACCTTTTGTTAGTCCAGATAA